TAGCTTAGATGTAGGCATGAGCTAGTGGAGGATGTTCCAGTAGCGTCTCTTTCTTACTTATTTCAGACATTGTATTGGTGCCATTTTGTCAACTTTATATTTATGAAGTTATGAAATATTTCCTCCATTTGAATATCTCATTAGTAGATGGTTGTTGTGAACTGATGTGATATACTGCAATTCTTACTATGAAGTCTATGTATACTTCGAAGCAACAAAAGTTTTAAATTTTCCGTTAAAATTAAAACCTATACTATGTAATGATGAAGTATGTAGGCTTATCTGCGACCTTCGAGAGGTCAACGATGCCGATTTTGACTAGGGTCTAGATCCCGATCGTGACAATTTTTCTGCATTGTGATTAGTGTTTTTGCAAACTTTACAAAAAAGACTAGAGTTTTTCTCAGTTTTTTCTTCAACCTTCTTAGAAGAACCATCATGATCCTGCTTCTTTTTTGGCTTGTAATTTTTCTTCTGTTGATTTTTTGAGAAATTTTGAGAAGTCTCATTTATTGTAGAATGAAAAGTCGTCTCTTTGGGTTGATCTTCACGAAAAAATATTCACTTATCGTGTGCACGAAATGATCCAACTAGCTCTTTGATGGAAAGCTTAGAAAGATCTTTCGTCTCCTCAGTGATAGCAACAATGTACTCATACTTTTCTGTGACACTAATTAGAATCTTTGCACAACTTGTTGGTCAGAAATTGTATCACCATGATTTCTCATTTCATTAACAATATCCATGACTCTTGTGCATTATTCATCAATTTTTTCAGGAATTAATTCCAACAGGATAATGCTGTGTTAGAACTCTTTCTTATTCTATAATAATTAATGATTGTCTAAGTACACCTTTCAAAGCAAAAAAAAAAGGGGGGGGGGGGGGGGTAAGACAGGGGGGTCCTCTTTCCCCTTATTTGGTTGTCCTTGCTATGGATTATCTCACAAGAATGATGAAAAAATTGAGAAGAAATCTAGACATAAGTATCAGCCTAGGTGCCACAGAAAACACATCATACAACTTAGCTTTGTTGATGATCTTTTGTTGTTTAGTAGAGGAGATGTGTCATCTACTACCCTCTTGTATGAGTGTTTTCAACAATTCTCAAAGGTGTCTGGACTCATAGCAAATTAGGCAAAGAGTTGTGTGTATTTTGGAGGTGTGTCAGAAGATATGCAACTATTAATCCTAGATCATACATGTTTTGTAAATGAACCATAACCTTTTATATACCTTGGAGTTTCTTTGAGCTCAAGGAAACTGTCACTAGGTCAATGTCAACCATTAATAGAAAATATATTGGGCAGAATTACAGCATGGACCGTCAAATTCTTATCATATGCAGGCAGGTTGCAATTGGTAAACAGTGTGCTAACATCTATTCAAGCTTTCTGGACAAAAATTTTCCTACTACCAAAACAACTACTGAAAATAGTTGAAACAATATGTAAAAGGTTTTATAGAATAGAGAGACACAAGTTAAAGGAAAGGCACTTATTTCATGGACACACTCTGCTGGCCAAAAGTAGTAGGAGGAATGAATGTTACAGATATATAAATGTGAAACGAAGCAGCTATAATAAAGCACTTGTGGGATCTAAACAAGAAGAAAGATAATTGTGGATTGTATGGGTTCATACCTTTAACCTCAACGGTAGGAAACCATGGGAAGTAAAAGCAAACCAAGCTTCATGGATAGTGAGGAAAATTATACAAGTAGGACATTGGTCGGAAGATAAGGGTTTGCAAATTGCAAAAAGCATGGAGACGGATGATTTTAGTATAAAGAAAATGTATAAGAAGATAAGGGGTGATTATACAAGGTTCCTTGGAGGAGAATGATTTGCAACAACCAGGGTAGTCCTAAGTGGATCTTCTCAATGTACTTGACTATAAATAGGAGACTATACACCCGACATAGAATGGAAAAATGGGGGATTACTAATGACATCTTATGTCCACTCTGTTAGGAAGTAAATGAAACTCATTAGCACTTATTCTTTACATGTACATTCTCAAGAAGGCTATGGCAAAAGCTTCTGAATTGGCTATCAATGAATAGAGTTAGCAATGGATGGACTGAGGAACTGAGATGGGTTGTAGAACATGATTCAAGCAAAACAATACAAGAAGAGATCTAAAGAATGACCTTAGCTACAACAATCTACTACATCTGGCAAGAAAGGAACTACAAGATTTTTCAAAACAATGAGAGGAATACAGATATGATCACTAGAGTAATCATCCAAAGCCTACATTGTAGAGCTCGTATCATACCTAGGTTTATAGATTCTATGCACAAGTTTAACTTCTATCCTTAGATTAGAGACTAGCAGGAAGGGCCTTTTTGTTTCAGCTGGACTCAGAGAGTAGAAGTTGTCCATATCAAGAGTTTCCAACATTGTACATATTGCAAATCTGGTAATACTAAATTACAGTTACCAAAAAAATATGTTAATTATTAAATGTATCAAATACTTTTTTTTACATTTTATGTTATATGTGATACATTAAAGACATGTGGTTTACAATCATGATGTATCAGATACATTATTTACCAAAATTCAACAAAGTTGTTCATTACATGTATATTCTGTCAGATTAACAAAAATGTTAATAATTTATAGTTTTATTAAATCATCATCACTAAGAAATGAACACAAATTTAAACAATTTTTTTGCTCTGATAAATTTTGAACTGGAAATATCATATAGACATTCATTAGGTTTCATCATTGAACTAAAATATTATTTCTCAGTCAGAAATAGATTGAATAAATTAATAAGGTAAATAGAATGACATATGAAACTTTACTCAACAAATTGTGAGCCTAGTTTATTTAAAACGGTAAGGTAATATCCTAACAATTCTTTTACGATTGAAAAAGCAAGACAAGTTGCATTGGATATAAATAACCAATCAAAAGCAATGAAATATCGGAAATTTCTTGGAAATAAAATTGTAATATGCACTCAATGGACCACTAAAAGTTGAAGTACAAGAATATAATGGTGGAAAGAAAAAAGAAGGGTAATTTCTTATTCACCCCAACACGACTTGACTTCATTCATTCATTGGTGATGAAAGGTAGCATTCGTTCAATAGTAGTAGGAGACCCATCTAATTATTTAAATATTTTTACCATAAATACTACTTATATACATGGAGAGAGACGAGCGAAAGAGAGAGGTGAGCGAAAGAGTCAACATGTATCTATTGGTACTATATATATACACACACTAATTACATGCTAAAATGTAGATACACAAAGAGAGGGTGAGAAAGAGAGTCAGTAAATCCCAAATATATACGAGTCACACTTAAATACAATATATTTAAAATAAATTATATAAAATTTGATCCGCATATATCTGAGTGTGCCAAATACATATATCTGATAAATTAAATGTGTTACAAAAGGTAATTTCAAAAATTAAAATAAACACGAAGAGTTCTAAACTAGTACAATTTGTATTGTTTGCTCATAATATTAATATGATCCAAATTTTCTTTGTGCAGATGGATAGTGGGTCCAAATCCATAAATGAGAAGAACTAAATAATTACCTACACTAATCACTCCAACCACTGCCTTCTTTCCATTTTAGTTGTTATGTCATGCTCTTTAAAATTAAATTTAACTAATTTTTAAAAATAAATTTTATTATATTAATTTAATGCTTTAAAATAGTTTAGCTATTCAAAAATTCTATTAAAAGTATCCCAAATTGTAATTTTTTTCATAGTAATATAATGAAAAATTATATTTTAAGAAGCGGATGGAACTCTATTTAAAGGCTTTAAGTCGAGCCTCCTCCCTACAATAAAAAATGTTACTCAAAGTTGATATTTTTTGGCTCTAATAAAAAGATTGACAAGTAAAAAGTAAGAGAGAGTATAACAAGTATGCACTTTTGTCAAAATGTTGTGTTGAAACACATACCATATATGTGATATTTACTTAAATATTCGTGTTTACTCTACTCAACACACCCTAAATGTGTTTAACTCTATTTATTGTTGAGGCTGGAGTTTGGTGACCTTTTCCTAATTTCTGTTGGAATTCGTCACCTCCATGTCACAAGCCACAGATAAAGGTGCAGAGGCAAAAGAATCGTAATTTTTTTTGCCACCGACAACACGACTTGACTTTATTAATTCGTTGTGATGGACCCTCCTTTCAAATATCAAGTTAGATATACGTATCTTTGATATCAAATATCTTCTAAAATATAGATACATATATGGACAAAGCAAGCGAGAGAGGAGAGTTGCGACAACATATATCTTTTGATACTAGATACACATATCTTTGATTCTTGGTATATTTTGAAATACAGATACATAGGAAGATAGACGAGCGAGAGAGAAAAATTAAAAGGCGAATGAGCTAGATAGGAGAGAGGCGAGTGAGAGTGTCAGTATATTTCAAATACATACGAATTATCACATTTGGCTACAACGTATCTAGAAAAAACTGCACCTAATTTGACTCGTATATATCTGACGAAGTAAATATAGTACAAAAGATAATATCAAAAACTAAAATCGATACACATATTTAGACCCTAAACTAATGAGATTTATCTTGTTTGCTCATAACACTACTAAAAAAAGATCTTTAGTGGAAATTAATTCTTAATTGCCGCTAATATATACTTTTAGCGGCAATTAACACTCTATGTATTTATTCCTAAAGCCTTTAGCGACATTGAATCAAATGACACTTAACTAATGCCCGTAAAGACTTAAGCACTCTTTATAAATATGTTTATTTATTGCCGCTAAAAATTGTTTTTGTTGTAGTGTAATAGTAATATGGTCAATTACCATAAATGTGAAAGGTACTCATATATATTCAAGAGATAAGAGTCAAAAACATACATAAACTATTCACTTTTTTGAGTTTCATATCTAAACTATTGAGAATATGAGTTTCATACCTAAACTATTTTTTTTAGTTTGACAAACACACCTCACTGGTATGTGGAATGCAATCTCTCTTTTATTTGAAAAACCTTGACACATGGTATCCTACATAGACAAAATATTTTACCTAGATAAAAATTAAATAATAAAATATTAATATTAATTAAAAATTAAAGATTAATGTTTTACTATCCATATAAAAATTAAATTATTTTTCTTACCTCACTAATCAACTCCTCCGTACCCCCTCCCCGACAACCCCCATCCTTCTTTTTTTTTTTTAAATCATTTATTAAAATATTTTTAAAAATTTCATACTTCATCCTCCCTTCCACTTCAACAAAAAAAACCACCCATTCATCCCCTCCAAAAAAAAAAAATACATGTATATGGCTGAAAGGAATCCCATTGGATTTCTGGAGCTCAAACTTCTCAGAATAATTAATGCGTTGACTAGAGTAGGCATTAAGAAATTAAATTTCCTATTAATATTAGTAGTTGATTGGAATGCTCATTACAAGCTTTCATTTTTGAATTGGTACTTGTTTGTTTATACGTTCCTCTATACACCAGACTAATTAATCGAATCTATGGCATCATCTTCTTCTTTTGCGAGTAATTCACAGTACTCTCCTCAATGGAAGTACGATGTCTTTGTAAGTTTTAGAGGAGAAGATACTCGGAAAAATTTTACGAGTCACTTGTACCAAGGTTTGGAAAATAGGGGAATATTAACCTTTGTAGATGATAAAAGGCTAGAGGATGGAGATTCCATCTCAGAAGAACTTGTGAAAGCTATAGAAGAGTCTCAAGTTGCAGTAATGGTTTTCTCAAAGAATTATGCTACGTCAAGGTGGTGCTTGAATGAACTAGTGAAGATTATGGAATGCAAGGAGAAAGAAATTGGACACATAGTCATACCGGTCTTCTATTATGTGGATCCATCACATGTTCGATACCAAAGTGAGAGCTTTGCAGAAGCATTTGCCAAACACGAATCGAGGTATAAGGATGATGTTGAGGGGATGCAGAAGGTGCAAGGATGGAGGAATGCCCTTGCTGCTGCCGCAAATCTAAAAGGATATGATATCCGTGATTGGTGAGTTGAAAACACGTAAATTGAAAAGGAACCATATGTATGTTGTATTATTATAGGACAAACCTCAAAAAATTGAGTCAAAACAGAATCTTAATTATATTTTTTGCATATTTTGGAATTATATATTTATATCAGTAATTAAGAAGGAATACTATTCTGATTAATTAGGAGTATTCTACTAATTTTTATTCCTGATTCTTTGTCTGTATATATCAACAATATTCTTTTCTTTATATATAGGATTGAATCAGACTTCATTCAGCATATTGTTGACCAAATTTCGTCCAAATCATGCAAGACTTCAGTATATTATTTGCGAAATGTTGTGGGAATAGATACTCATTTGGGAAACGTAAAATCCCTACTAGAAATGGAGATCAATGATGTTCGGATTGTGGGGATCTGGGGAATGGGCGGAGTTGGTAAAACGACAATAGCAAGGGCTATTTTTGATACAAACTCAAACCGTTTTGATGCTGCTTGTTTTCTTGCGGATATTAAGGAAAACAAGTGTGGAATGCATTCTATGCAAAATATCCTTCTCTCAGAACTGTTGAGGATAAAAGGTAACCACGTGAATAATAAGGAAGACGGAAAGCACATGATAGCTCATAGACTTCGGTTTAAGAAAATTTTAGTTGTGCTTGATGACATAGATCACAGTGACCATTTGGATAACCTAGCTGGAGATCTTGATTGGTTTGGCAAAGGCAGTAGGATTATTGTAACAACCAGAGACAGACATTTGCTGGGAAAGGATGATGCAGTATATGAAGGGACTGCACTACTTGACGATGATGCTATTAAATTGTTCCATCAATATGCTTTTAAAGAAGAAGTTCCAGATGAATCTTTTGAGAAGCTCTCATTGGAGGTCATTGATCATGCTAAAGGCCTTCCTAAAGCACTAAAAGTGTGGGGTTCTTTCTTACATAAGAGGGACATAATTGAGTGGAGAAGTGCAATAGAGCAAATGAAAATTAAATCCAAGTCAGAAATTGTTGACAAGCTTAAAATTAGCTACGATAGACTGGAGACTGTACAACAAGACATATTTCTAGATATAGCATGCTTCTTACGAGGGTTTGAAAAAAAATATGTCATGAAAATTCTTGAGAGTTGTTATTCTGGAGCAAATATTGAATTGAGTGTCCTAATTGACAAATCTCTTGTGCTCATCGACTGTGATTGGATTCAGATGCATGACTTAATACAAGATATGGGTAAATATATAGTGAATATGCAAAAGGATCCAGGTGAACGTAGCAGACTATGGGACGTTAAAGATTTGAAAGAAGTGTTGGTCAACAATACAGTAAGTAGACTAAACAACACAATAATATTCAATTTCTAGTTTTCAATTATCAAAATTCATTTATATTATGTTATCAAGCCATGAATTTGTATAGTAGCCGCTTAATATGCTTAATCTAACTTTTATTCTTTGCATTAACTTGAAATTTGATCGATACATGGTACATAATAACTCAATTAGTAATCTTTTAAGAATACATTAACCAACTATTTACTCTGAGTAACATTTTGTAAATAATTATTACAATTTTGTTATATCACTGCATTCATGAAAAGGTTTTTGACTTGACTCTAAAAACTAAGAAATCTGATGAGAAGATTTGGCGTATTTTAGATGACATCTGAAGTTATAATTTGTGGCTTGTGATCTTTTTATCAGGGGACAGTGGCAGTGGAAGTAATCTGGTCAATTTATATTAAAAAACTATGGTTAAGCAAAGAGACACTGAAAAATATGAAAAGACTTAGGATATTAATAAGTCAAGATGTAAGTCATGAATGGCTCCAAGAGTACCCCTCCGAGAGTGATTCAGAAGACGTTTCCCATGATTCCAGTTGCCATGATGGCTTCATTGAGTACCTGCCCAACAATTTGCGTTGGTTTAGCTGGTATCTCTATCCTTGGAAGTCATTGCCAGAAAATTTTGAACTGCAAAGGCTTGTTCATCTTGAACTCCGGTTTAGTTTGTTGCATAAATTATGGACGAAAAGAAAGGTACATTTTATTTAAAATACTTTTTATTTTTGCATAATACTTGAACTCCCCTGAACTTGGAAAAGTTTATTTAGTGTAGACATAAATTTGTGTGGTATTTGTCGTCATTTGTCCTCCCCACGAGTCTCGGGTTGAGATCCACACTGCGACATGTAAATTAAACAATTTCCTTTTGTGTTTTGAATAGATACTTTTGCCGTCTCTACGAAGGCTAGATCTCCGGTACTCTACAAGCTTGATGGAAACACCAGATTTTACTGGGATGCCAAATTTGGAATATTTGAATTTGAGTGCATGTGTGAGTCTTAAAGAGGTTCACCATTCCTTGGGATGTTCCAGAAAACTCATCTCTTTAAAGTTGTACCATTGTGTAAACCTTGAGAGGTTTCCATGTTTAAACGTGGAATCTCTTCAAAAACTATGTCTAATAGATTGCTTCAGTTTAGAGAAATTTCCAGAAATCCTTGGAAGACCGAAGCCGACACTAGACATTTCTGTTGGAGGCTACGAGATAAGGAGGGGTTGGCCTACAGTGCTAAATTAAAGAAATTTGGGAAACCTTGTAGCTCTTCCAAGCAGCATTGGCATGTTGAAAAGCTTGGTGAAGCTAAATATATCGGGTTGCTCTAAGTTTGAAAGCCTTTCATTGAGTTTTGAAAGCCTTTCATTAAGTTTGTAGATGGGGTGTTCTTTGTTTTCCCTGACGTGAATGAAGGGTTACACTCATTGGAAGATCTGGATCTCCGTTACTGCAACTTAACAGATGGAGAACTTCTAGAAGACATTGGATGTTTATCCTCTTTGAAAGAGTTGCCTCTAATCATAGCCCAACTTGGTCCTCTTCGATATTTGGACTTATCAGAGTGCAGGAGGCTTAAAAAGTTTCTAGGTGTTAATGTAGCTGAATGATTACGCTCATTGGAAAATCTGAATCTCATGTGTTCCTGCAATTTAATGGAGGAATTCCGGAAGACATTGGATGCTTATTAATGAGAAAGGAGTTATTACTTAGTTAACTAAAATTAGTTATAACAAATTATAGTTAGGATTTGTTAGATTAGTTAGTTAGTATTTTAAGTTCTATATAATGTAATGTTTTAGTTGTTTTTCTTCTAAGAATTTTTGGATTCATTTCTAATAGAAGTAAAAGATATTTTCTTCCAAGTTTTCCTTTCTTCTTCTTCATCTTGCTCTTCTTCATCTCGTTTAATTGTTTCTACATGGTATCAAAGCAACCAGCCATTGATATGGTCTGAATTGAAAGTTTAGCAAGGCAGAATTAAGGTTGTAGATGAAGCTCAACAATGGCTGTTACTGTCGACAATGAGTTACCGGAAAAACTTAGTCACAATCATCCTCTTTTTTTGAGTACTGCGGACACTTCTGGAGTTGTATTGATCTCCATTCAACTTACAGGTGCTGAGAATTATTCCGTATGGAGCAGATCGATGAGAATAGCCATACTTGGAAGAAACAAGTTGGGGCTAATCAATGGAAAGTGTAGAAAAGATAGATTTGGTCCTAATTTGAGTGATTTGTGGGAGAGATGCAATGCAATTGTCCTCTCATGGATCATGAATTGTGTTTCAAAGGAATTATTAGGTGGAATTGTTTACTCTACAGATGCATGTTCTGTTTGGGGAGATCTTAAGAAGAGATTTGATAAGACGGATGGATCAAGGATCTTTCAACTACATAGAGAAATTGTTACATTGGTACAGGGTACGAGTACTATCGCAGAGTATTTCACAAAATTGAGATTGTGCTGGGCAGAATTTGATTGCATTGCACCTTTTCCTGGTTGTAATTGCACAGAATCGAGAGGTTTTGTAGAATTCATGAAGCAGCAGAAGTTGTTACAATTTTTACTGGGTCTTAATGAGACTTATGAGCAGGCTCGAAGTCAGATCTTGATGCTAGTTCCTCTTCCTTCTGTTAATCAAGCCTATTCAATGATGATTGAAAGAGAAAGCCAACGAGTCATAGCAAACTCAGCTAGGAATGTTAATAATCTGGAGATAGCAGCTCTTATGACTGCTCGTCAAGTTCCTAACAAGTTTAAAAGGGACTGGAATGCTCAATGTGATCATTGCAAAATGATGGGTCATACTAAAGCCAATTGTTATAGGTTAATTGGATATCCTTCCAACTTCAGATTCAAGAAGAAAGTTGGGCAGCAAAGTGATTCTTATGAGAAGGAAGGTGAAAATCGAAGTCATGCTCACAATGTGAGGGATGAGGAAAGTCGATCACACAATGATGGATCACAAGCTCGAGCAGCTCATGTGAATTTTCGTACTGATCAAGGCTACAATAACTATCCTAGAACTGATAATCTTCATGCTGATTGGAATAGATCCCATATTCCTTCACAACAACACCTACAGATGATGCAGCAATATGATAAATCATCACATCTCAATCAGTCTAATCTGGGACAGCACAAAGCTGATGATATACCAGAACCTTCCTCCTCAAATATGTGCAGATTATCTGATTCGAATATGGGAGGTAATTTTTCTAAAGCATTTGCTTCCTATGCATGTAATGATGATAAAGAATGGATAATAGACACAGGTGCATCCAACCATATGATCTCTCATAAAGAGATGTTGAATTTTAGGAAGCCTATTGCTGATTATAACAAACAAGTACATTTGCCAAATGGAGGGATCGTAGAGGTATCACATATTGGCAGTTGTGAATTGATGGATGGAAGATCTGTGAAAAATGTTTTATACATTCCAGATTTTAGATATAATCTGCTTTCAGTATCTCAGATTACTAAGGAACTACAATGCTCAGTTCATTTTTTTCCTGATTATTGTGTGGTCCAGGACCTCTCAAGTGGGAAGGTACTGGAGATTGGTAAAGAAAAGAATGGTCTCTATATGATGAGTCACAGAGGGAGTGGTGTTGATTGCTCACCAAAAGGAATGGTTGCTTCCAAGAATAAGCTGGACATTCTTCTTTGGCATAGAAGGATGGGTCATGCCTCTGTAGGAACTATGTGTCATTCTTTTAATATTGATCCTAATGAATGCAAAAGGATTTTAGACAAATGTGATGTGTGTCCATTAGCTCGACAAACCAGATTACCCTTTCCAAATAGTGAGAACAGATCCTCTTGTATTTTTGATTTGTTACACTTGGATGTATGGGGACCATTTCATGTTCCTACTTTTGATGGTTATAAAATGTTTCTGACTATTGTGGATGACCATTCTCGTATGACTTGGATATTTTTGCTGAAGTTAAAGAGTGATGTGGTGGTAGTGTTAAGAAATTTCTTTCAGCTAGTCAGTACACAATTTGGAAAAAGAGTCAAAGTATTGAGATCAGATAATGGCACTGAATTTGTCAATTCCAATTGTCATGCTTTGTTTACATCTCTTGGTATTGTACATCAGAAAACATGTATTTACACACCTCAACAAAATGGGGTGGTGGAGAGGAAACACAGATATATTCTAGAACTAGCCAGGGCTATCAGATTTCAGGGTTCTATACCTATTATATACTGGGGTCATTGTGTGCTTGGGGCTGTGTATATGATGAATAGATTGCCATCTATAGCTCTCAACAACAAGTCTCCTTTTGAAGTGTTTCATGGTGTTAAAGGATCCTTAACACACCTCAGAACAATAGGTTGCTTGTGTTATGCTAAGTGTTTACCACCTGGAGATAAGTTTGAAGCCAAAGCTGTTCCTGCAGTACATATGGGTTACTCTGAAGTTACAAAAGGTTATGTGTTATATAATCTAGCCACTCATAATTTTTTCATATCTAGAGATGTTAGTTTTAGGGAGGATTCATTTCCATTCCAAAATACATCTCCCTCTTCTAATATTTTCTTGGACATATCTCCTACTGAAGATTCTCCTATTAATGACTCACATTTGTCCCCTCCACATAATGTTCTTGATAGCCTGATAATGAGGTTGATGATGTTGATATCTCTATAATGCCTACTGGTGTTAACTCTATGCCTTTGAGACAGTCACATAGAGTTAGGAAACAACCTACATGGATGACTGATTTTGTCACATATGCTGCTTCTACTTCATTACATCATCCTTTATCACATTGTTTGCATTATGCAAATTTATCCTCACAGTATCAGTCTTATTTGTGTGCTTTCTCTAGTATCACTGAGCCTAAGTCTTACAAGGAGGCATGTTCAGATCCTAAATGGATTTCAGCTATGAGAGAAGAGATCCAAGCACTTGAGGCCAATAAGACCTGGCTTATAGTACCTTTGCCTTCTCACAAGAGACCTATTGGCTGTAAATGGGTTTACAATATAAAG